TAAATGTTTCTTGAGCAGCAAATCAGCATATTAGAATAATTTCTGAAGGATCATGTGACACTGAAGACTTGATTAATAAAAAATTACAGGACAAAAAAATAAATTAAAACAAATATTTGAATAAAAAACAGTTATTTTAATTTGTAATAATATTTCCAAAAATATTGATCAAATAATTGGAGTTTTGGTGAGAAACTTCTTTCAAAAACATTGAAAAATCGTACTTTTTAAACGGTAATATATATGTAACTCAACTATGGAACCTACTAATATACCCCATTAAATCCATATTCAAAGACTGCATTGTATGTGTCCATTGTGGAGATGGCAATCCCAGAATGCACTGATGAACACGGTGAAAAAATAAATCCAAAATGGTAGAGAAAGCAGGAGAGATGCTATTCTAAAAATAAAAATCTACAGTATTTTAACAAATATCTGCATGTACTGTCTTTTTTAGCTCATTAACGAATCACTTTGTTTGCTGGAGCCAAACTCCATTGAAATCAAGGCAACACTTTATTTTTATGGTCCACTTGAGACATTCTACTAACTATAAACAACTTTGTAATTATATGTCAACTAACTCTAGAGTATTAGTAGACTGTCTGCTTAATATCTGCTAACACTTTATTTTTTTCTCCCTAAGTAACTTTGCAAGTTCGTGTCACTGTCAACTTATTCTAACCCGAACCCTAACACCTAACCCTAGCCTAACAGTCAACTAATACTCTGAGATTTAGTTGGCATGTACTGTAGTTGCAATGTTACTTATAGTTAGTAAAATAGAACATCGAAATAAAGTGCCTCCCATGTATGTGATGTGTGGAGATACCGCCAATGTAGTATGTTCACTTATGTGAATCTGTGATGATTAGGATGCTGCCTAAGTAGGCAACGAGGCAGCTCACTGGGTTTTTGAACAGAGCTAGAGTGTGAGAAGAAGTATAAGGAGAGAGAGAGAAGTGGCAAAAAGAGGTAAAGTTGGAACAGCAAAAAGAGAAACTAAGGGAAAAGTGGGAGCCGGCGGTGCCGGAGGGGGGGTTTCTGAAGTATCCAGCACATGAAAGTTGCGGCTGTGGGTAAATCTGGAAAAACGACTGCAAAACTGCTGAACTCCGCCGTACGGCCTGCCAAGAGTGAGGGAAGCCGCAAAGGGAGAATAGGAGGGGAGAAGAAGAGAGGAGAGGAGCGTGTGGGGGATGAGTATATGGCTCTTGCATGCGTGTACCTCAGAGGGAATAAGATCAGTGTGGTTTGGAAAGGTTAAGCATCAGAACATGCTCGCACATTAAGAGCCATCAGATTCCCGGTCTAGTGAGAGGGGAGCACCACCGTTTAGAACAGAGCCCAGAGCGAAAAACAATATCTCGGCAAATTGGCCCAACATCTTTCATCCTCAGCCAACGGCAAAATGTTTGGAGATCCTGTGCTTCTCTCTCCATTTCTCTCCTCATGATGAAAAAGCGATGCTTGAACCTCAGGACAAACTGAAGGAAAGCTGTGAAATGCCATTGTGTGTTATTCATCTTGTATTTATATATACTTTCTGTACGTCCCATCTTTCCTGTAGGCACTAAGCTGTAGACTACAGAAGGACAGAGTGAGGAAGGTCGAAGTGAGTCTTGATTTATGTGACACCACAATCAAATAAACAAGAGCACTTTTTACAAATACCATACATTTTAGTGTCCCGTATACTTTTTTTATTTGCTAAAAAAGGGAATATATATATATATATATACACACTCACCTAAAGGATTATTAGGAACACCATACTAATACTGTGTTTGACCCCCTTTCGCCTTCAGAACTGCCTTAATTCTACGTGGCATTGATTCAACAAGGTGCTAAAAGGATTCTTTAGAAATGTTGGCCCATATTGATAGGATAGCATCTTGCAGTTGATGGAGATTTGTGGGATGCACATCCAGGGCACGAAGCTCCCGTTCCACCACATCCCAAAGATGCTCTATTGGGTTGAGATCTGGTGACTGTGGGGGCCATTTTAGTACAGTGAACTCATTGTCATGTTCAAGAAACCAATTTGAAATGATTCGAGCTTTGTGACATGGTGCATTATCCTGCTGGAAGTAGCCATCAGAGGATGGGTACATGGTGGCCATAAAGGGATGGACATGGTCAGAAACAATGCTCGGGTAGGCCGTGGCATTTAAACGATGCCCAATTGGCACTAAGGGGCCTAAAGTGTGCCAAGAAAACATCCCCCACACCATTACACCACCACCACCAGCCTGCACAGTGGTAACAAGGCATGATGGATCCATGTTCTCATTCTGTTTACGCCAAATTCTGACTCTGCCATCTGAATGTCTCAACAGAAATCGAGACTCATCAGACCAGGCAACATTTTTCCAGTCTTCAACTGTCCAATTTTGGTGAGCTCTTGCAAATTGTAGCCTCTTTTTCCTATTTGTAGTGGAGATGAGTGGTACCCGGTGGGGTCTTCTGCTGTTGTAGCCCATCCGCCTCAAGGTTGTGCGTGTTGTGGCTTCACAAATGCTTTGCTGCATACCTCGGTTGTAACGAGTGGTTATTTCAGTCAAAGTTGCTCTTCTATCAGCTTGATTCAGTCGGCCCATTCTCCTCTGACCTCTAGCATCAACAAGGCATTTTCGCCCACAGGACTGCCGCATACTGGATGTTTTTCCCTTTTCACACCATTCTTTGTAAACCCTAGAAATGGTTGTGCGTGAAAATCCCAGTAACTGAGCAGATTGTGAAATACTCAGACTAGCCCGTCTGGCACCAACAACAATGCCACGCTCAAAATTGCTTAAATCACCTTTCTTTCCCATTCTGACATTCAGTTTGGAGTTCAGGAGATTGTCTTGACCAGGACCACACCCCTAAATGCATTGAAGCAACTGCCATGTGATTGGTTGATTAGATAATTGCATTAATGAGAAATTGAACAGGTGTTCCTAATAATCCTTTAGGTGAGTGTATATATTAAAGTTTCAGGGGTGATTTTTTTTTTAAAGGTGCCAAACTAAAAAATTATATCTAGAAAACTTCTCTTATGATTCCCGTCATACAGACCTCATATCTCTCAGAATGGCAACAGGAATTTAACAAAGCATTTATAAACTAGTGGCCAAAAACCTTCCAGTCTGTAAGACACTGATGCCCTCAGCATTGTCAGTGTTGGGTATAATTAATTACTAATTAATCTAATTACTGTAACCTTGAAAAAGTAAGGGATAACTCTTAAACTGTCTGTAATTTGATTACAGTTATTTCTGATGTAATTGCATTAAATACTGTCCAGACATTTATTACAGAAACGTCTCTCTATAGATAAATTCTATATAAAAACAATAATGGATTCAAATGTTTTTAATGTAACCTTCTCCCTTTACACACTTTGGTCAGTTCAAGAATAATGTATGCAATTTTATATTGTTTATTTAAAAGAATCAAAAGTGCATTTTCGTGTCTGTCCTTGTATTGTTCAACTGGTCGAGGTTGATATGGGGTTTAGAAAGTAATTAGTCAAGTAATGCAATACTTTTTAGAGAGAGTAATTAGTACAGTAATCTATTTACACTGTTGAAGATGTAATTAGTAGCTAGTAATAAATGACTTTTTTAGAGTAACTTTCAATTATAAAGTCAATGAGAAAACATTCCTATTTTATATATAAATGTGAAAAGTCTGCTGTTTATGAACATGTGTTAATATGGCATGTCTGAGTATGCTTGGGTTGTAAGTGTGAGTAAACGAGCGTGTGTGTGTATGTGTGTGTGAGAGGTGCTGGGCATTGGAAAAGCAGTCCATGTGGGTGGGCAAACATATGCGGCTGTTAGGATTAGGAAGTGGTAAGCCACATCTTTTTATTACAGAAATGTCTCTCTAATATCTCTCCCTCGCACCAGGCTGTCGCCTCCCAGACTTGCTTACTTGGTCGTCTCCCTGAAAAGCCTCCCAACCCAGAGTCTTTTATAATTAGCGTCAAAACCGACACCAGATATGTTTTACACACAAACCTCAGGATTTTTTTGGCCTGACCCAAGCGGACACACACCGTAATAAGGTGCTCTGTTCCGCTGCGGTACTCCAAGGCCAGCCAGCGTGCACCTTTAATTAAATATCACCTTACCCTCATTTAAATCCATGTCGTCATCTGAAGTGGTACGCTCCATTAGACCTCCCTTTTATTGAAGCGACCACTTCCTTTATCATGGCTTTCCAATTAGGTCGTTTTGGTATACGTTTATTGTGAAGTGCTTAGAATACAACGTGTATTTACTAGTGAGCTGCTTACAGCACAGTATGCACTACCTGCTGCCTACAATATTTTTGAAATAGTATGCGATATATAGCACGCACTATGTAATGATAAACATAACGATTCATATATTTTTAACTCAGTGAATAATTAAATGTAAAATAAATCATTATTTTCCATTTTAATCTAAATTTGTGTAAAAAATGTCTTAACTTTGTGCAACACAAGTAAAAAAAAATGATTAAAAGGTGCTATTAATATCTCTGTTCACTTGATATACTACGTGAATCAAGTCAAAGTGCATATATTGCACATTCTGAAAATGCAAGAGGTCATTCCAAGGGGTCTAGTTGTGTGTCCCAATTTGCGTATGACATCTTTAAGTATAAAAAGTGCGAGTGTTGTGTTTTGTGTGGTCTGTAAATTCTGTCATTTACTCACCCTCATGTTTCCAAACCTTTATGATTTTTGTCTGAGGAATATTAACAAGATATTTTTAGAAATGAGCTTTTTTAAAGTCAAAGTCAATGTTCACCAAAACTGTTTGGCTATCAACATTCTTCCGAATATCTTCTTTTGAGAGAAGCGAGAAAGTCATACCGATTTGGAACGACTTGACGGCGAGTAAATGATCACAGAATTTTCATTTTTGGGTGAACTATCCTTTTAACGCACTCCTTTAATATTCTGTGTGACGTGATTTTCGGAGGGTAAGAGTATAAAGTCGTGCTGTGTTAAGGGTTTTCACCTGGCAGTGGTAGATGTACTCTGGTGTGGTCTTCTTGAATTTCATATTCCACACCAAAGCCACACCGTCTGGCTCATGAGGAGCGTCTTCATTGTTGTTGTAGGAGGCCACCAAGAGCTCAGGGTACTGGAAATATGGAAAGATGAAGAGAAGATAGTGAGGGCAGGAGAAAGATGTGAGAGAGAGAGAACAGAGAAGAGGATGAGAGTGATAAAGCTGACTGAGAGACAGAGCGAGGGAAGATTCCCCCTTTTAAATGAACAGGTGTTGACATCGAGGGAGAGGTCAGAGAGGGAGGTCAGTCTACCTGAGGGGACCAGTCCAGACAGGTGATGACCCGATGCTTTGACCAGTGCTCATCATAGAACAGACGATTGAGAGAGAGACTGGAGCCGCCCTGCAGATCTCTGAGAGGGGGAGAAACTGATAACATGAGCTTACACACTTATCCATATACGATATTAATTAAACCATATCGTAACATATATACATATATAAATATTAGTTAAAGCAAAAACGACATACGATTTTTTATGTTTTTGAAAGAAGTCTCTTATGCTCACTAAGGCTGCATTTATTTGAACAAAAATACAGTAAAAACAGTTATATTTTGAAATATTATTACAATTATATATATTTATATTTTTTATTTGCTTTAACTACTAATATATACACTTTACCATATATAAATGTATATATGTGTGTGTATATTATGGTGTGTCAAAGTACTATAAAATTATAAAAATATATTATTGTATTATCTATTTATATAAAAAAGTACATAAATGTAAAATAAGATCATAAAAATAACAGTGTGTTTGTATTACCCATACAGAAGAGCAAAATGAAAGCTTGTTAATAGATGACATACTTACGCAAGAATTTCTTTGAAGAACAATGTACGCACACACACACACACACACACTCACTCACACTTTAGCTCATGGAGGACATACTAGAGTCTTCTGTTTTCATATTAGCCTAATTATAAATACTACTGACTAGCACAAACCCTACCAAATTTAGTTATTTTTATCTCACTTAGTTCAGCAAAAAAAAAAAAAAAAGGTTGAAAATACAAATGTGATCATTTCAACAGGCTTTTATGACAGAACATAAAACACTGGAGCAACCTACACATCCATCGCATAACAAATATTTATTAAGTAAACATTAAATTAGCAAAATATACAAATCTGACTGCATCCAGATGATTTAAGCAGTTTATGGTTTTGGAATGGTTTTGATTCCATTTCGTGAAGATTCATTTGGATGACATGTTTTCTCACATAAATTACATTTCACAACAATCAAGTTTGTTTTAATATAGCCATAAATAATTTATAATTTATGATTGTTGTTGAATCAAATGTTTAATATAACAATAAAATAAATATAATTAATATAATATAAAATAAATTTTTATAAAAAAATAAACATAAATAATAGATAAAATACCCAGAAATCATGTTTTTGTGTCACTCAGCACATTCTCACCCCTCTTTATCCTCCAAGTCTCGTCCGCTGTAGTCGAAGAAGACGTTGGAGTCCTCAGCTAAAGCTCTCTCCATCACACGAATACTGCGGTCAAAGAAGATGAGGAACTCCTCCGAGTGCAGAACCTGCTGTTTCTCTTCCTCCGTCAGCTCCCGCGGGTGGCCTGATACACACGCCAGACAAAACACAACAAAACTGAGACGTAAACACAGCTGCAGAGTAAATAAACACAGAACAGGCCATATGTTTTAATACACAAACACACAAAAGCACATGTCACGACCGCAGCGATGGCCTACGTGTTTACACCTACTACTTACATACAATAACACTAACAAACGGATCTAACCACAGACAAAATCATGGCCGTACAGCAGAACGATGAGCAGTAACTGTACAAACTGAACCTAAACAAACTCGCCCGCATTCTTCTTCCTGACTCCCAACAAGCTTTCAAGGTAGTTAAGCCAATTAGAAGGGAGATATGGGCGTAAAAAACAACAAACAAACAACTAAATGAATAAGCAAATACATTAGCGAACACACACGGCTCTTAGTACATCTTTCCATAATGACAACACGCCCAGTTTTTCTCCTCCTTTTTTGATGTTATTGCGTTTCTCTATTTTCTCCCAGACTATTAGGGGCCCGTTCCTTTGATCCAAGGCCACTTGATTTGCGTGCCTTTTTTGATGACTCATAAGGAAGACAAAAGCGTGATCAAAGTCAGCGTGGAGTCAAAGCCCTCGTGTGCTTTCACAGTCTGCCTCTGTCCAGCCTCCCTCTAGTTATTTACCCTGTACACTTGCACAAAGAATGCACTCTCCACTCGCTTTGAAGTCCACTTGCTGGGGTCTAGTGACATTAAAGTTCGATCAGGCCTGACCCAGAATGCCGCGGCCCGATAAGCCCAGCCCCCAGACAGTGAGAATGCCATCTGATACGGCTGCGGGGTCACACGCGAGTGGCCACTCAACGCTCTGCTGATCCTGTTTGGTGACTTTGGGAATTTGACGTGTGGGAGGCCCAAACAACGACTAGTAAAATCAGCACAGGTAGGAACAAAAGTGATTTGTACAGTAGTGGAACAGTTTCAATCATAGTTTTAAAGAGGACCTGTTACAAAAAAAAGAGTTTTAATTAGGGATGCAACGATATGAAAATTTTGCCCGATACCGATAACCGATAATTCTTTATATTTGAAAGCCGATAACCGATACATTGGCCGATAAAACTAAATCCATATTTTTATATCATTTTTGAGAGCCTGATTACAAAAACAAAAGTCTCACCATTAAAAGACATGTCCCAAGCACACAATTTTAATGTTCTCATTATAATTTTATGTAACATATATGACAGACTTAACTGTATTTTCCTTTTTGAAGTGATTTCAGTCATATTTCAAGCAATTCAAAAGCATAATGGCGAACAGTGCGCATCTGAACTGTCTCAGCTTAAGGAAATGCACCATTATTTATCGGCTTTAATATATCGGCCAACTTTTCTTATTGGGCCGATAACAATAACATCAAAAATGTACATATATCGGCCGATACCGATATGGTGGCCGATATATCGTGCATACCTAGTTTTAATGCTTGAATGTTCAAAAGAAAACATTATTTTTCACATATTTGACATTTTTGCAGCTCCTCTCTTCCCAGTCTGTCAGTAACACATTGGGTGCGTTTCCCGAAAGCATCGTTAGCCAACAACGGTCGCAAGTTCCGTCATTATCAGCAGTTCAACGAGTCAGTGTTTCCCGAAACCATCGTTCCAACGAACATTCGCAGACAGCATCGCAAAGTAGTGTGTTTGGAACGACAGCTCTCGACCTGTGGTTAGAAGCAGAGTTTCTTGTTTGCATGACATGTGGACTTAAAGGTGCTCTATGTAACTTTTCTACTAAAATGAATCCTTTTTTTATTGCCTGTGTGTGAAGGGGTTGTAATCACACATTAAAATGATCCACTTGTCGAGTTTTGCTATTACCTCTGAAGGCCAGTATTCCTATTTCTATGTGAAGTCTCCGGGTCGGATTTACCGCGAAATCCAACGGATGTGACGTGCATGCGCGCTCCCGAGCCTCTCTCCTTATATACAGTCTATTGTAGACGGTCAGGGAGTTACGTCCGGTTAAAGGCGCACGTTTTTCGGCTTATATCTCAGTCAATCTTTGATCAATATTCCCAAGACTCTAATCGTTCGTAGTGCTGGACGGGGCCTTTCGAACGAGCCCACCCCCGAGGTCCAACTCGCCCGGCTCCCCGAGTTATAGCCGTTCGAAATCGGGGGTCCCAGCGAACGGCGATCCGGTAGGGGGCATCCCCGAGGGGTTGAAGGGTTCCCCTGGGACCTCCTCCCCCGAATTTGAGCTCTCTGGGTCTTTGCGTTCCAGAGATACGAGCGATTTTCTTCTGAGATCGTGACGTCACCGGCGTCCGCAATTTTGCAGCGCGCCCGATGGTTTTCTGCTAATATCTCCGCGAAAACACCACCAAAAACTATGGACCTTATATGGTTCTTTTCAGCTCGACTAGATGGTCCCAACGAGCTCGGTGCTCGCCGAATCCGTCAAGTATTCGCCGAGATATTTGCGTAATAGACGGTATTGTCTATGAGTTCGAGCACGAGCGCTCTTGTAAAATTTGGTTGCAATCTGAAACATCACCACTAGAGGCCGCTAAAAGTTACGTAGAGCACCTTTAATAAATCCTTATCTTGAGCAAAATAAGCAAGCTGACATTCAATACAATCTATATCTTTTATTTAGAATACATACAAATGTCATTTACGTCTTTTAGTTTGTCAAGATATTTAAAGCACCGTTTTTGAAGAGTGCGCATGTGCGAACGTGCTCTGCAATGTAAGAACGAGCCTATGATTGAATAAAGCAAAATGACTGAGAAAAAATTTAAATAGTCCATGCCATGTTCGTAATTTATAGCAAAACATCTAGCATTAATTCGATCTCAAACAGATTCATTAAAATAAGTGATTACTCCACCACCTGCGTGACATCATTAACCAATGTGGTTGAACGACCAATTTGCGACAATACGGTTTCGGGAAACAGTCGTGACTAGCTAGGTGATTTCTTCAACGATGCATCGTACTATGGCAGTGAACCAGCGAGTTACGTCGTTGTACGGGAAATGCACCAGTTCAGAAACAGTGACACTGATATAGAGAATAACTCTTTTTTAAGGACTTTGTGCTTTGCAACTTTGCAGAACTTTTTCATGCTCAAACAGCAACATTACACACTAAAGAAGTTGACAATGTAAAAAAGCATGATATGTCTTCTTTAAATGACCTTATTGTGAATCTTTTGTCGCTGTAAATAAGTTAAATCATATATACTGTAATTGTAAGATACACATTACTTCACTGGCGGAAGGTTTTACATAGAATGGCTTGCATTACAGTGCAAGCTGTAAATCACATGGCAAATTATTAGAGGTGCTACGTCATGTTAATAAACCCCTCAATGTCATGTCACTCCACCCATGGCTCATTAACCGCTAACAGGATGCATTTCCCTTTGAAACATCAAACGAAGGCCACAATAAAATTCCAGCTATGCCAACACAGAAGGAATTGCCCTTGTGGAACAGCCACACTGAATGTCATTTTAGTCAGTCTGGGTAATTTATCTACAAATCTGTTATGGTTTCTATTGGCACTTATGGAACATGTGTGCAGAACATGCGTCTCAACGCCAGGATTTACTGTAAAGAGACGTCTCTCTCGTGGAGTCTGAACTGAGCAGATGTTGTTCCGTGTAACATCCGACATACAGAAGTCAAACGTGCTAAATTTGTGCCAGGTGGAGGCTGGTGGTGTAGGGAACACATTTTTATATCAGAGCAACTTCCCACACACCTTTACTGTCTAAATAAGGGCACACTACTTCTATTTTTTTGTTTGTTTTGTTTTACATACATTTTTTTTAAATACAACAGGCTAACCTTAACACTTTAAGAATATGTTCTGGATTTAATTTAGTATTGTTTTTATTATAATATAATATAATATAATATAATATAATATAATATAATATAATATAATATAATATAATATAATATAATATAATATAATATAATTAGGGCTGTCAAACGATTAATCACGATTAATCGCATCCAAAATAAAAGTTTGTGTTTACATAATATATGTGTGTGTACTGTGTATAATTATTTTTAATACATAAATACCCACACATGCATGTGTATTTAAGAAATATTTGCATGTATATACTGTATATAGACTGAATGTAGCCTATATATAATGTATATTTTATATAAATATAAACATTTTATATATAAATAACATATTTTTCTTAAATATATACATCTGTGCATTTATATACAAAATAATTATACACAGTACACACACATATATATTATGTAAACACAAACTTTTATTTTGGATGCGATTAATCGTGATTAATCGTTTGACAGCCCTAAATATAATATAATATAATATAATATAATATAATATAATATAATATAATATAATATAATATAATATAATATAATATAATATAATATAATAATATAATTTGGGTAACACTTTTATAAGGTTTCATTAGTTAACATTAGTTAACGAACTAAGAATAAACAAAACTTCTACAGCATTTATTAATGTTACTTCATGTTAATTTCATTTACTCAATCATTACTAAAATCAAAAGTTGTATTTGTTAACATTAGTTAATGCACTGTGAACTAACATGAACATGAACATTTTTATTTAATTAACATTAACAAAGAATAACAAAGACTGTAACAAATGTACTGCTCATTGTTAGTTCATGTTAGTTAATACATTAACCAATGTTAACAAATGAGAGTGTTAAGTGTTACCAATATTTGTAATAGCTTTATTAATATGAATAAAACATTTAGTTTAAAGGTAAATATACTTACTAATTTTAACCCTAGGTCTAAAAGAAAACGTTTTACAAACTTTAAAAAAAAAAAAAACTTAATTAAATATGATTCATGTAATCTCCGGTACAGTTCGCTGCTTATATGAATGCAATCATACTAAATAGGGGAAGTGAATCGCTATTGATGACGCATGATTTTGTGTTCTCACTCACTTTCCTAACAAGCGTGACTGACGCACTACAAGCAGAGAGAATCTGCTCACCTTCAGCAGAAATGAAAATGAAATGAAAACGCACCGCAGTTTGGACCCAAATAATATAACGTGAACTCAGTCCAGGTGGGGCAGAGTAAGAGGGATCAATCAAACTCGAGTTTGGACCAGGCATTCGAATCTGGAGTGTGAAAGCACCGTTAGCTAACCAAGCAAATGCACTCAGACCCACTCTTACCTTCTTTTGTTTCCTTGCTTTCTTCCTCTTCCTGCAGGTCAGTTTCTGCACCAGCTTTCGGTTCTGTGACCTCTTCATCCTCCTCTTCATCTTCTGAAAAGACACACACAAAAGGTCATGTTCAGTTTCTGTTCTATGAGACCTGCCAAAACTCCACTGCCTCCCTGTGTGACCCACCCTGAGACCCATAATAATAGCTTACAGATCTTCTGATATACTGACTCGATAGACTTCCACTCATTTTACTCACAATCAGACTCTTTACTAATCAGATGCGCTCAACTCAACGGCTTGTTTTGGATCAACACGGCCTGTTGTTTTTTCGGTTCGGTGGGGATTTGCACAGCTGCTTTTTCACAACCGTGAGCTCCAGAGAAACAACACAGTCAGTTAAAAAGACACTTCCCTCAGGTCCCTAAGAACATGTGTGCTACACGTGTGCGTTGAGTTTATGAATCCAGAGGTCCTCTCATGGAAAGGCACAGATACCCCACAGGAAGGGGAGCTGGTGAGTGGCGTGGCCTCTTTCTGCACTCGATCAACCCGCCAAAACCCCCCGAACGCCTGCCCCGGGGCCCCCCAGGCCCTGGAGTCTCACCCCTTAATTAACCTAGTCACCCCAGTGCTACCCGCTCTCAGCCACCTGCTACGCCGTCCGTACCCCTCCTCGGCCCTGAAGTGCTGGCCATGTGTTCCTAACCTTGCCCCATGCCTACAGATGGCGAGAAGGATGACGCTTAACACCCTCAGAGGCACCTGTAGATGGGGCACACACACAGTCACGCTAGCATACACACAGAGCTCTGTGGGATTGTTTTCTTGTTGAACCCCAGTGGCAGAGGTTAATTATCCGAGGTCAGGCTGACAGTGGGTGCCCAGTCCGCAGAAGGAAGTGATCCCATCATGCCAGACGTGTTGCTGCTGACTCTCAACACCAGTGTATTTGTGTTCACACCAGTTAGGGAGGAGGCAAGGGCCTGGAGGCGCGCTCAACAATGATTTAAGCATTGCAAGAATGCAGTTGCTAACATTGTTGTGAATTATGCTGTAGTATGACAGATTTGCCGCCTTATTGGTGTTTAATCTCAAACAATAATGTTTTTTTCGTATATTTATTTTTACCCAAGGGGGTTCTGGAAGAAAAACAAACAAACAAAAAAATGTTTAGTGAAAGCTAGCAATAATGCACACTACCATTTAAAGGAAAATTGTTAAAAAAGCAGCACAACTGGTTTTAACACTGATAATATTAGGAAATGTCTCTTGAGCATCAAATCAGCATATTAGAATTTCTGAAGGATCATGTGACATCGAAGACTGGAGCTGAAAATTCAGCTTTGATCACAGGATTAAATTATATTTTAAAATATATTCAAATAGAAAACAGCTACTTTAAATTGCAACAATATTTCAAAATATTACTATTCTTACTGTATTTCTAAATAGACTTTAATTACATTTTTATAAAATTAGCTAATATTAAGTAGGCATGCTGTAGCGTTAGGACATGAAATACAGTTCTTTTTAATAAGAAAATATAATTTAAAAAAAACTTTATTTAATTGATCCTCCAATAAAGTTTCTAATGAAAATACCTTATACTGTACGTGACTCTGCAACATTATTACAGTATTATTGGACAATTTCTGTAAAATTTTCTGTAAAAACTATCCAAACACAAAGATTGTCTATAGGCTTACATAAGAAAAAGCATCAGCTTGCAATGGCAAACGACAAGAGTTGCTAATTGGTCAGTAACGTTCCAAACCTTTATGACTTTCTTTCATGTGGAACATGAAAGAAGATACATTGAAAAATGTTGGTAATCAAACAGTTTTGTTTCCCATCGACTTCCATTGTATTTTTTTGTCCGTACACTGTAAAAAAAAATATTTTTCAAAGTTGTAAATAAAACAGATTATTGCAGTGTTTTACAAGAAAATTCATCAGTATTTCTATTTCAAACTTTCATGTTTAATTCAATGTTTCAATTGCTGTTTCTTTGAAATTAGTGGTTCCAATTTCCAAGGATCAGCAGGCCAAACCGTAAGTCGTAGAGACTTAAAACTTTGAGGAGTGGTTCGACCGTCACACGAAATGCTCTGGTATTTTGGATTTTTCGAAAAACCTACTTTTGCGAACTAGTCCTAGTTTCTTTTGCCCAATCGGAACCAAACCATTGCAGAAAGATTCTGTAGAGTCTAATTGTCTAAAATTTTGATTCACGTCTGCGGCGGGACGTCAAAACGTTAAAAGTAAAGAGCCTTTTTACGCATGTGCTTAAAGGCCTTGAACCCCGTTAATTGCTGCTTGCAGCTATAACTTTTCTAAAGTAAATCCTACACCAATTTTTGTTTTTCAGTCAATAGGAACCAAAACTGTTTGGTCACCAAAATATCTTCTTTTATATTCTGCATACAGGTTTTGAACGACATAAGTGTGAGAAAGTTATGACAGCATTTTTGGGTGGACTATCCCTTTAAAGAGAAATCACTTCAAGAACAAACAAATGTTTACATCTGTTCTTCATTTGCGTCCAATTAAATATTGCATCTACCTTGACTAGGTGCACACTAAACGTTCATTCCCTCTTAATACATAAGGTTTTGCTTTGAATGCAATGTGCATAGAATATAAAATGTATGTTGAATGCTTTGTGTTAATACAGTATGTATTGTGATTTAAATCCATAGCATATGAGTATAAGCACTGAGACAATTGATTCCCCAGAGGTTGAATGTGGATCACTGATGTGAGCCGAGTCTGGCCAGGAGCAAGTGTGGTTTAGCTGCTGAATACGACTGAGCTTCTGAGCCAGAGACCAGCGGGGAAGAGAGGAGTCCTTAGACCCAGACAGGCAGCCAGCCAGCCCAGGCCGACCACAACAACATGGCCTACTCTGGCCTTCTTTCTCTTTCTCAGAGCCCTGCCATTCATTTTCAGTTTGTTCCTTCCCTCTGGGGCCTGACAGAAAATAGCACAGGCAGAGAACGGGACACCTCTTGCATACCAGAAGACCCACATGCTAGACAGACTATGTTAGAAGGTTTTGGATCAGGATGTCCAAGTGTGGAGCGGGACGTGACCTGATATAACCAGGACTAGAGGAAAGTCATTCACACGAAGCCACCAAAAGTGTTGACCACACAGACGGAGGACAAAGCAACAACAGTCCTGATTCATGGTTGTGGTCCAAAGGTTTGCAAACAACGTTCAAGAGGCTCGCAATATATCAGCAGATCCCTGTGGCTCGTGACACCCCATATCGCTCTGCAAAACATCAACACTGTGGGCCAAATCCCAGGGAACTTTCAAACCAATTTGTAAATTAAATGATGCCCTTAAATCCATTTTTAATGCATCAGACCTTCCCATCCACGTCAAAATGTTTATTTGCGCTTCCCATGAGGTGACGGCAACCCACATGGCATCGAGGGATCGGTTGGAAGGCTTGAAAGCGATGAAGAGAAGGAAAAACGAGACAGCTTTAACACACTCTACCCTGGTGCTTAATATGGGTTTACTCAGTGGGAAGGAACATTAGGAACCATCTCCCCTGTTCACCAGGTTGATGAAACTCTGGACGTGCCGTGCAAGGTAATAACATCCCCCTCCATCTTACCTGCCTTCAATCTCCTCTCAGTTCCCTCAAGCTGCTCAGAGCAATTCAAATCCATCGCTTGTCAAGCTGCTAGTTGTAATGACCAACACAGCAGCCGCGTCTATCAAAACAGGACTTCCATCCTTAAAGCGACAAGCTTATCTCAGGGTGTAGGACTCAAGACATCCCAGCTAATTAACTGCTTAATTAGGCACCAGAAATCGCTATTTGTGCAACAGTTGGGTGCAGGGTGTGTGAAAGATTAGTTCTGCTTATCACATATTAGAGTCGCAGTGGAAACGCGAAAAGGTTTGATTCGTTGTAGAGGGCGCGAGAGCGAATGCCTCTGAATGTGGTAAAGAGGATCTTAGCGCTTCCCGCTGTTAAGACACTGCACGCGATATACCAGATGCAAATGGTTCACAGATGGACGTGGTCTTGGAAACATCAGTGTAAGAGGAGAGTTACGGTGCACTTGTCAGGCTCACACTTCCATTCAGTTTTCATGATGGTAAAGCATCTTAAACTGGGTTAATTTGAGATCAGGGATTCTCCTAGGCCAGTGGTTGACAACCTATATGGTCACTCTCAGATTAAGGGATGTAGAATATGGTCATGCAGAATAAGTGCTTTAATATTTGCTTTATAAATACTAAATAAACAGCCAATATCCTAGAAATATGCATGCTAATAAGCAACTCGTTTATAGTGAGAATTGGACCGAGTTACCAGTAAACTAAAAAACTGTCGATATAGTTAAATTAATTAACCACAATTAATTTTGTGATTCCAGAAGTTTCAAAAACTGCATGTTCAGATTTAATTTTATTACCTAGATTTTTTTTTAAATCATTTTAATTAAGATAAATAATTAAAATGATTATTAACATGAAATATTCATTAATATTAGATTAATATATCAATAATTAATTATAATATTAATTAATTATATGTTGTGTTATTATATAACAATATGAATTATATTGATAATAATATATATAATTATAAGTTATCATGCGGCCACTTTAAAGGTGTGCTGAGAACCACTGTCCTAGACTTGAAGAGAAACAATTACAGTTCAATTTAATATATTTCTGTAGCACTTTTAATACATTTCTGAAATAAGTAAAATAATAAAAAAACAATCATGATTAATCTTATGATTTATGTTTTTTTAAGAAAGCAGAATTACAGTAATGTCAAATCGGATTAAATATACTAATATATATTTTATGTGTATGTCTAATATGAATCAGTGTTAACACTCTTAATAAAATATAATAATAAAATAATTACATAAAAAAGCTCTCAAGCCCATTATCGACTAGTCGACCCTCATTGTCACACAGAAGAGCTTTGAGCACCTCTATAAAAGGCACGTGGCATGGTATGAAGGAGTATAGTGGTGAAAAAATGCCGCCAAAAGCAGTAAAAGATGCCATCGATTAAACAGAAGAAGGATGCGCCTCAGTCTTTCATCCAGCATTTTATT